TGCAATGATATTTCTAAGAAAAGTGATCGTGTGACCGCAGGGTCGGCACCTCTTTGGCGCCCTGTCAGGATGACACCACTGTGTCCCTTAACGGACACAGAAAAAAGTTATTGGCCGTTTATTTTGTTACGCGAACGGTCGCGTTTGTGGACTTTTAGTTCCGGGATGGAGGCGTAACGAGAGAATCAGATGGAGTACACTCTACATAATCTATACATAATGCCCGTTTATTGTGCATACTATATACAATCGGTTCAATGAACATATCTATTTTTGCCCGGTTACCCTTATTCCTGAGAGAGAGGGCTCACATGAATTTCGTGCGAGGATAAATACCTTGGTTTGAATCGTCGATTAGTCTTGGGTTTGAATCGTCGATTAGTGACTTCACAAAGTTCTTTCGAACGTTGAAACGCTTTTCCCAGTTGCACAAAGTTCTTTCCAACGTTGTTGGGCGTAGTCCTTCCGAACAGCGGCGATTAGATGAGTTCCGGGTAGCAGCTAATCCGTTCACGTAAATTGCACAGTGCACCAATTTCCAGAGACTGACTCTTACGTATCGACCCCTCCTTTTTATAAAGGGGGTCTCGTTGAGTTTTTTCCACTGCCTTATTAAAATTGTTTTTTTCATCCTTGACCAATAGTCTTTTTCGAGATTTCGGGTGACACATTCGATGTATCATACTTGACAAGGAACTAAGTTCGTGGGAAAAGATTTTTATGTTCGTTTTTTATATCGGTTTGAAATTTATTTCTTTACACTTTTCCTCCCTCAACAAAAATTTGTTTAACCATTTATTCCCTAAATTCGACTCTCACAATATAGAACATTCAATTTTTAAAAATTTATATGAAAACATGCATTTAGAATATTTTTAAAAATTTCTTTTTTTTATAATGCTGTTTGTTAAAATATCAAAGAAATTACTACAAAGTCAATTCACATTTCATCACATCACTTCACCAATATGTATTTTTAGATACAGAATAGGATTAATGAAATATAATTGAGTGAAAAACCAGATATATTGAACAGATATATAGTAACTGTTTAAAAAATGAATAAATATAGAAAATGAAAATAAGTATCTTTCATAGAAAATATGCTTTTACAAGTAAATTATTCATTAGTAAGTTATCATAACTAAATTGCTAATATTAAGAGTTAAAAAAAATATTTTTTGCTATTTTTTTAAATTGTGGTTTCAATTTTATTACATTTAACAGGTTAAATGTTAAACTAATAGTGTTATATGCTATAAATGCAATAATGTTATTGTAACCTTTTGCATTTATATTTTGGGAAAATGCTCTAGAAAAACTATTCTATCAGAAGACAGTTAATTTTTTTTTAAAGAGATTCATTACAATAACACTGTAATTATTTATGAATCTCTTGGTTAATTTGTTGAAAACATTCAGAATATTAAAATTATGTATTTCTTGAACTGTATTTGTTATTGTTTTTTTTTTAACTAGAAAGAAGATATAATTTATTTAAAAAATAGTTTTAATACCAGTATTCAATAGAAAAGTTAGTTTGAAAAGTTTTTGATTTTTAATGTTTATTCTGACAATGTAGAAACAGTTATCTCTGGTGATAGGAATATCACCAGAGATTATTTTTGAAACCAAAACTTGTGGTATTATGCAGGATTTGTATTGATGATAGTTTTTTTTTTTTTACTGAAAATGTGTATAGGTGAACTAAAGAATTTGACAACGTTCATTAAAAATAACTCATTGACTAAAGTTAGAGTACTGCGCACTCCAGAGAGAGCTGGATTGATTCGTGCACGCATGTTTGGAGCTCGTCATGCCACTGGAGAGGTAATTCAGATTTTAAATATTTAGCATAGTAGTTTCAAAAGGAAAATAACTTTTAAAACTTATAGTTTTTAATATAACATTAGTAAAATTATTAGTAAAGAGCTGTATAAAGATGTGCACAAATCTTTACAAATTTTTCTATTTATTGTTATAAAAGAATTATTGCTTACATTGTTAAGTTAATTCTTCAGTATTTGTCCCACAAAGATGTTCTTTGTGATCTAGAGCAATAGTTTGTAACTCCTTTATGTGTCAACAACTCCTTTGTGTTTACAATGTCAACTCCGGGGTGGAGTTGTCGACAAGGTAGATGTAAGAGGTCATTTAGTTCTTGAAGCATCGACGATACACAGATTAGGAAGAGCAGTTTTTGAAACGAAAGGTTGGAGAAGCACAGTTTTCTTGAAGAATGGCCGGAGAAGTGCAGTATGAGAAGAATGGTTGGAGAAGAACACTATGAACTTGAGATGTGGGTTTATATAAATTTTAACCACAGTCTGAACAATTTAATTGGTCCCTAATCCTGCTTATTCCTCTCTGATTGGTCCCTTCTTTGTCTCCAGATAGAATGAGACCCAATCGGGCATGGGAAAGGTCAAATCTTGATATTAACCTGACACCTCATCTCAATCTCGGACAATGGGATGTTTAAACAAACCTTGGAACTTTTGCTTGTATTTCTATATGTTTTGTTTTTTCACTCGTGAAAAATTTTTATAAGAAGTCTTGCTATAATTATTTATTGATTGAAATATTTTATAGTATTTTGGGTTCATTGTAATTTCATCCTATTTACAAGCATCCGAGCCAAAGTTTGTTTTCCCGGTTCGACGTGTGAACTCAAGTAGTCTGCACTTACATCTATTATTTTTCCCTTTGCATTTGATTATCTAACAAAATTACTTTCTGAAGTGGAAAGCTTCTAAGTAAAATTTAGTGAGAGATTCATCTCTCATCTGGTACCTCACAGATATATGGGCAACGACTTTAGCAGTATGATATTGTTTGAGTTTAAAAATGAAAATAAGTTGTATTTATTTGCTTATAGATTTGGAAATGTAACAAATCTTTGAGCTTCTGTTCTGAANTTACTCTGTTTTTAGGTATTCGGTATTCGGCCGAATAGTGATTAGATATTTGGTATTCGGCCGAATAGTGAAAAATAGGCCGAATACCGAATAGTAACCGAATATTTGTTACATCACTAATATTTACTTTTATAAGAAACAAACTGGTTAATACAGGTTTTCTTCTGTCATTAAAAGAAATATTTTCAAATTATTAATATTTCATCTTTAAAAATTTATGAATAAAAAGAATATTTATTCTTCCTCTGGAACAATATTGTATTTCTTGCTTGCTTTTGTAATGTGGAAATGAATGCATGTTCTACTTTGAAAGGTAATACAAGACTACAATATTGGCAAAACTGCAAAACACCTGAGATAACAAGTAAATGATTTTGCAGTTCTTCTCTTGTCTATTGAAGAGTCGAGTGGTTTCCATAACATGAAGAATATTTTTTCAAATATGAATAGATGTTGTTTGTTATAAATATATACAGAAGACAAGCCAAATTATATTAATAATCAAATGATAGAGCTGGATTTAACTGTTGGGCTAGAATTTTGTAATTAATTACATTCACATTATATAATTTGGACTAAAGGTCCTTAAATAAACATTTTTTTATTGCTTACTTCAGGTAACCAAAGTATTAAGATGAAGAAACAATTTTATTCTGAACTGGAACATTCTCAGCTTAAAAATCCAATAAAGGAATGTGAATGGATTTTTAAGCTGAGGATGTTCCAATTTGGAATGAAATTGCCTCTTTGCTTTGATATTTTGCCTGCCTGAAGTAAGCCATAGAAATAAACAGTTTACAAGTAGATATGATGCCAAGTATTTGCATTGATATTAATAATTTAATATTGAATAAAGGTCCAACTAATAATTAGAGAAATTAATAAATTTAGACTATTCTAGAAGAAAAGATTGATCCGGAACAGGACTTGAACCCACAGTTCCTGCTTATCCTGTGCAGTTGTGTTGTCAATTAGGCTACCTGAATCTCCGATCTTTGCTTCTGTACCAATTGATTTATGAGTTATAATTATACGGGGCAATTAATTTCCTTATTATTAAATTTAATACAAGCTACTGGCATAATCATCTGTCTAGTCTAAATTACATGTCATTATGTAATTAATTAACCAAATTGAGTTAATCCAGCTCTATTGTTCTTATTTATATAGTTTATAAAGATTATTGTATACCAGATAAATTAATTAGTCTATTTTTTTTTATATTTCAGAAAACAGTTTTTGTATCAAGAAAACTGCTCGAGAGAAAAATGACAGCAAAGTAAAATGTAATAACAAATCAGTATTTAAATGTTTCTCAACTCAGGGTAGCGTTTTTTGTTTTGTGCTCAATTTTTTCAAAATATTTATTATGCCTTGGTCTATGCGATATAAATCCTTCTTCCTTGGGATTGTTGTCACTTCCATTACGTGGTCTGTGATTCTCTATCTGTATTTCAATCTGCTGAGTAATTCCAATCATTATTATACCTCTCCCGAAAAAACTGTGCGCTGGAAACTCAGGCCGAGACTGAATGCTGCTCATCAAGCTAATGATGAAATACCTTACAAAACTGTAGCTGGAAAGAAACTTTCAGACAATCTGCTGCATCGCTTCCCACCTAAAGAAATTAATCTTATTAATAGTAATGAAGTTGAGGATAATAAGCAGCTTGAACAGTATGGTATCAGCAATAACGATGTGATGAAGCATTTATTCTTCAATGATAGTGACTTAGAAAGGTTCGGAGAAATAAGAAATCCTATCGATCAGAAAGTTAAAGATGAAGGTTACAAACGTCATGCTTTCAATCTTCTAATTAGTAATCGACTTGGCTATCACAGGCACTTGCCTGATACTAGGAATTCTTTGTGAGTATATTAAAAGCTTAAAAAAAAACTAAGTTTTCTTGTATTTATTAATATAAAATATGTTGACAGGTGTAAAAGCCAAGTTTATTCTAAAGATCTACCAAAAGCTAGTATTGTGATCTGCTTTTATAATGAAGCATGGTCTACATTATTACGAACTGTTTACTCCATTTTTGATCATACTCCGTCGTATCTCATACATGAAATTATATTAGTGGATGATTACAGTGATAATGGTAATGGATATTTACAAATATATATATATTTTTAATAATTTAACATGTATATATTAATACTCAAGTTTTACAAAAATATCCTACATAATATCAAAACTTTCCTTACATAATCTGTAATCACTTTTGATTATTTGTGATGTGTATGATATAAATCAAATTGTGATTATCAAATGTAAATCTAAATTTCTTTGGGATGATCCAAAAGTCAGTAAACGTTTTAAAAAATCAATATTTCAGTGAATATTTGATGTATGGCAACAAGATTATTATAAAAATGCATAGAGTCATGGGTTTTTTCCCAGAAAGATGTCAAAATTAGTTTGTTATGTTTACCAGGTGGCACTTTACCACAAATAGTAACATACAGGTGTCTTCAGAAATGCTTTCCATAATGACATTACTTGTCTTCTGACTGTGTTTGACAATGAAGGCCTTCACATTGAACATTTGGAATGGTGCATTTCTTTGTGTTCTTATGGGTTAAAGTTGTACCCGGTGGACATAATTGGAACTAATTTTTAAACCTTTCTGGAAAAACCCTCTGACTTTATGCATTTCCATGCTAATCTTGTTGCCATATGTCAAAAATTTGCTGAATTTTTTAAAAATGTTTACTGACTTTTGGATCACACTGTATTTAACCTAATTTTAATTAATAATTAAGATCAAAATCTTAAAAGTATATGATAAGAATTTATTGCCATCCTGATCATTCTATAGAGAATATGGATGTCCATAGTTAGGGTGACCATCCATCCCCGATTTGCACGGACAATCCCTGTTTTTCATCACCTATCAACAGCAAAGAAGTGTTCCCAGTTTTATTCCCCAGATGGAGTCTTGTATCTCCATTTGTCCTCTTCTTTGTGGTTACTGTAATATTGTCACTGTCANATAGCGGATATTGCACAAACCATTGAGTTTAAATGAGCAGCGGACCTACTAAAAACCATTTATTATTTAACGTCCATAAAAATTATATTTATATTTAGAAGTTAATGTAGTTAAACCTTCATATAATATTAATTATAATAAGTGCTTGCTTGTATTCATTTATCTAATTGATTTAAAGAAGTAATGACAAAATACATGGTTAACTTTACAATATTCAAACTAAGTAGGTTATTTAACTGTCTAAATTGATTAAATTCTAATAAATTCAGAAATAATGGTGAGAGAAAGCTGCAAGTTTGATTTGTAAATAATTTTATAAGTATAATTAATTGGCAATGAGCTTTTGAGAATGCTCTCATCAGATAAAGGATGTTTCTGATTAGTATCATATACTAGGATATTGACATTTCCTTATTGTCATTTCTCCATTTTTTTTCTCTGCTTAATTTAAAATTTTTGACATATTTTAAGATACTTTATATAACAAAATTTAATTAATTAAAAAAAGTATTTTTAATATTAGGAAAATTAATAAGCTTTGTGCTTAGGTATATTAATATTTTAATGGATATTATAGTATTTATCATANTTTTTCCCTTTGCATTTGATTATCTAACAAAATTACTTTCTGAAGTGGAAAGCTTCTAAGTAAAATTTAGTGAGAGATTCATCTCTCATCTGGTACCTCACAGATATATGGGCAACGACTTTAGCAGTATGATATTGTTTGAGTTTAAAAATGAAAATAAGTTGTATTTATTTGCTTATAGATTTGGAAATGTAACAAATCTTTGAGCTTCTGTTCTGAATACTTGTATTTCAGACTTTGTTATTCCTAGACAGTCATTGTGAAGTGAATGTCGGCTGGATCGAACCTCTTCTGGAACGTATTAAAACAAATAGAACTACAGTTGTCTGCCCTGTTATTGACATCATTAATGCAGATACTTTACAATATAGTGGTTCTCCAATTGTTCGCGGTGGCTTTAATTGGGGTCTTCATTTTAAATGGGACTCTGTACCTTCGAGTCTGCTTAAAATGGATATAGATTTCATTAAACCTATCAAGTAAGCAATCGTCTTAAATTCTCAAGCATTGTAAAATTTTAAATTAATTATAGAATTTCATGATATACTTAGATCGCCTACAATGGCAGGAGGATTGTTTGCTATAGATAGGAAATATTTCCATAATTTAGGAGAATATGACGAAGGAATGGACATTTGGGGAGGTGAAAATCTCGAAATTTCCTTTAGGGTAAGTGAATTATTTATTATCTTATTTTATTGAAACAGAAAATGTTATTTTTTATCTATATTTAGATTTGGATGTGTGGTGGAAGATTAGAAATTGTTCCTTGTTCGCGTGTTGGACATGTCTTCCGTAGAAGAAGGCCTTACGGTTCTCCTACCGGTGAAGACACCATGATGCGTAATTCATTACGTGTTGCTCACGTTTGGATGGATGAGTATAAAGTAAACTTAAGCTTTAATTGATGTTAACAAAAATTAAAATCATATGTTTTAATATAAAATAAAAATTTTAAAACTAGAAATATTACTTTCAAACAAGACCAGATGCAATGAATAGAGAATATGGAGATATTTCTGAAAGGATGAAGCTTCGGAAAAAATTAAATTGTAGAAATTTCGACTGGTATATGAAAAATATTTATCCCGATTTACCACCTCCTTTACCAAAATCAGAGAAATCTAAATTAAAGAAGTGGGAACTTTCAAAACAAAATAAACAAGTTCAAGCATCTTATAGGAGAATTATGCCTAAAGTTAAGGCTGTGTATCAGGTAAATTAATATCAGCTTATTAGAAATCAAACTCTTCAGTATGTGTTTTAAATACTTTTAATTAAAGTGTAAAATAATTTTAAAATTTTAGATTCAGTTGCAGAATACTGATTTATGTGTAGAATCAGAAGATTATGTGACAACAAAAGGGTCTCTTTTAATTCTTCAGAAATGTTTGCAAATAAAGAGACAGGTAATATTAATTATTTATTTATTAACATATCTAAGACAATCTTTTGAATAAAAATCCTGGTACAAAAAGAATAATAAATCATTAATATTACACGATCAGATATAGTATAAAAATAATTTAAAGAAAGAATATTTGAAAAAAAACAAACAAATAATCTAAATTTTTACTAGTAGTAATGCTTTAAAACAGTGTTTTTCAACCTTCTTGAATAAGCGACCCCTTTACAAGTTAAAAAATTCTGGCAACCTTCCAGAGCCATATTAAAACAACGTATTTAAGTTCCTTTCTGTTGAGACCTAAGTATTGATTAAAAAGCCAATTGTACTGTAAAATAAACAGGCACAGCCTTCTTACTGAGATTGTAATTTTTTTTTATTGTAGTGTAGGACCTACAAACACTTGTTTTTTTCTTTTACCCGCGACCCCTCATGTAAGGCTTTGCGACTCCCTGAGGGTTGCAACCCACAGGTTGAAAAACACTGCTTTAAAACATCTATTGTAGAAATTATTGTAGAAATTATTGTAGAAACTGCCTATTGAATTAATAAGATGATGATAATTCATCATGAAAAAATTTCAAGATTTTCATCTCTTCACATGCCTTTTCCTTTATCATATTCTTATAATTATGGAAATATTTCTGGTCTACAGCAAACAAATTATTCTGCCACTGTAGATAATTTCTTATTCAGCAGATTAATATAGAGATAGACAGTAAAACGTACAATAAAGTAATAAAAAATATGTCCAATAGTTTTACAATGAAATGGAAAATTCAACAGGCATATAGAAATTCACCTACCAGGCTGTCTCCTACTTTTAGTGGTGCTAAATTCATCTTTTGATGGAGTTCTTTTACATATCCCCAGCTTTTTGGCAATTAAATCAAAGTACAGGTATTCCTTGTACAACACAGTTTTGTTATAACAACATTCAAGAATTTAGGAAATACTTTGTACAGAATTTCACAATTTTTAAGTGCAAACTCCATTTTTTATTTCCAAGTAAACATGTATGTTGTCTGAAATTTGCCCATGGATTTTAGAATATTAAAACAAATGGATATTAAATTAAAACAAATGAAGATGTTGCTGATATTTCTGATCAAGATCAACAAGAAAGCTCAGAAGATGACGATAGTTTGTAAAAAGTTGTCTTTGTTCAACTAAAATTAATATTAACGTGTAATATGGTACTTTTAAATGTGATTGTTAGTTAATTATTGATTGCTTTAATAAACATATTTCTCTTAGTACAAAGAATAGTATATGTTAACTTTTGGAACCTAACCCTACATTTTGCACTAGTCTTTTGTTTTGTGTGGCACAGATTTGCATAACACTACACTTTTTCAGAACGTAACTACTGTGTTTTACAATGGATACCTGCACAATTTAACTGTAAAAGCATAGTAAGTTCAATAATTATAAACACAGCTTGCTTACTTTTCCAGCAGACAGTTATATGCATTACAAATGCTTGGCTTTTTGAAAAGCCTGCTTCAGGTTGTTCTCTTGTATGAACTTCATTGAAGTTTTGAGTCTCGAAATTTTAAACATTTTTTTTAAAAAACGCTTTGAAAATTCTTATATGTAGTGATATTTTTAACAGGAAAGTATAATGCACGTGCAGACTTTTATCCAGAAACATAAATGAGAAAATTAAGTTATTTGTAACACATACAACTCTGCTGGAGAAGTAAGCAATCATTATAATTACATTTTTACAGTTTGGATAAATCAGTTTCATAATAAATACTTCTTGAAGGTGGTAACATAAATGTAGGAGTTCTTCATCAGATTTATTCTTCAAAGATTTTAGATTGTAAAGGAAGCCAAACTTTGCTTCATACCTTTTTAACTCTGCAAACTTTGTATTAGTACTTTGCAAATGATCACCATATAAAAGTCTGTTACTAAAATGTCTTCTGCATTGGAAGTTATATGGTTAATATTTCATACTCAACAAAGTTGGTTTTCTTCCTGTGGCAAAGTTGCTTAAACTTTTTTAGAATCTTTAGCTCATCAGTATTTTTATTTGCTGTGATTTTTGCAAAGACCAGTCTGTTTTTCTGTACTCTGCTAGCAAAGAGAGTGTGTGTGTTTGGA